GTGTGTATTAGAGTGAAAAACAGATAAAGGCCTGAGGACAAAGCCAGAGGAGCTGTGTGTGTTAGAGTGAAGCCATCTTCATTGAAGAACCTGTGGTCTGGGTGACCAGCGTAAAGAGAAGAGGTACTGTGATTAAAGCCGATTGAGGGCTTAAGAGCCAGTTTGGCTACCATTTTTCATTTGTATCTTTTGCGGTAGAACCCCTGAGTGGGAAACCTTATGCTTTATGAACTTTCCATTATCCTTTTATTAAAAGTGGGCTATCAGGCCCACAAAACAGGTCCGTCGGACACAGACTTCACTAACAAGGCATCTACCACTGAGCTAAACACCCACCATATCACATTTGCAAAACGAATCAGTTTTTAAGCAACAGATATAAAATTACACTTCAGTCATCTGGGATGAACCATGTCGAATTGTTAGCAAATTCCAAATATATTACATCTCTCTGCTCTGCTCTGTCCAAGTTTCTGCCTCTTAGTAAGAAAGTAGACTTGTTAGACAACATCACAGCCATACTGCTGGCTATCATTTATGATAATATTTTTATCACCTGCTCTTGTATATGTTCTATTATGAACCCCTCCTTCTAATACCTTTCCTACAGTAGAGGGTAGACATGTAGGTATGAAATTGCTGGATGAAGACCTTGATACTCTTTTAAATATAGGTATTATTTCTTGTATCAATAATTACCAGGCCAATCAGGGGTATAATTAGAATCATGGGCCCCATAGCAAAATGTTGACAGAATTCTCTCGCCATCACTAACCACCCTTTCCCCTTCCCCAAAATCTCTGTGCCACCTGTCATTTTGCATTCCCTTACACCTCATGACCAGTGGTTTGTATTGCCACCTGTTTATACCTCATATTAACTGGTACTTTGCGGTAGCCCATACTCTCCTCCTGTTTCCACCCCTTTTACACTGATAATCTGCAGACAGTCCCCCTCAATAAAAGCCCCTCAACATTGGTAGTCAGTGTAAATTCTCCCATTGGACTAGTGTTCAGTGTAAAAAACGTCTATATTGGTGCCTGTTTTCATTAGTGCCCAGTGCAATGCCCCCCCCCCCCCAGTATTTCTGTTCAGTGTTGCCCCTTAACATTGGTGCTCAGTGGGATTAAAATGCTCTTACATTGTTGTTTAGTATTTAGCAAAAATTGCCCTTTACATTGGGGGTCAATGTTAGGAGAAATGCATCCATGCAATGTTGGTGGTCAATATGAGGAAAACTCCTCGCTATATTGGTAGCCAGTGGGAGGAAAAATTCCCCCTAACAATGATTGTCAGAGTTTAGAAAAAATGCCCCCTTACATTAGTTGTCAATGTTTAGGAAAACATGACCCTTTGCATTGGTGATCAGTGGGGGAAATGCCCCATTATACTGGAGTCAGAGCAGGGAAAATGAACCCTGATATTGACATAAAATACCCCCCTTGCATTAATGGTCAGTAGGAGGAAAATACCTTTTTTAGGTTCCTTTCACACTTGTGGACCGTTTGTCCATTTTTCATCCATCCGTTGATGGATGAAAAATGGGCATTAATACATCTCTATGGAAAAATGATGATCATCTGTTTACATCTGCATCCGTCCACATCCGTTTTTTTTAAACAGACCAGAACCCTATTTTTGTTCCATAAAAAAAAATGGAATGGAGGATAAGCGGATGTAAACAAACAGTCCATTTTTGCATCCATTTTTGCATTGGTTGTTGGGAGCCGACACACGCTTCGGTGAATAACCAGTGACTCATCTCTACTGTCAGGGAGGATACCCACTGACAGCAGAAAGTAACCAAAAAAAAGCAGACTAAATGTGGGTGGGGGGGGGGGCTGCACACAAGGTGGTGGTGGTGGGAAGGGGGGCGGAGAAAGGCAGGACAGGAAAGGAACAGTGTTTACAATGAGGGAGCAGTGTGTACAGATAGGCTCCCTCACTTGCCCTTCGCTAGCTGTCATTGCCAGCTTTAAATGTAATTGTTGACTTTTTTTCTGTATTTTATAGTGCCCAGAAGGAGCTGTCATTTCGGCCCACCACTGAAGTAAACAAAGGGGCGGAGTCACCATGGGGAGTCACTGTCAAAGCAGCAGACAATTAAAGGTAACTCCGGCAAGAGAGGGAGCCTGTCTGTATACACTGCTCCCTCACTGGATACACTGCTCTTCTCCTCCCCTGCCCTTCTTCTTGCACACACTGACCCCACCCCCAGGCCCTCACCCCTACAAAGAGGACCAGTCACTTATATGCTATCACATAGAGGACTATTGGTCCCATGTGATATCAATAAAATCAAAAGTTAAAATAAAAAAAAAAAAATAAAAACACATAAAAGACACATGAAAAGTAAAAAAAAAAATTAAGCTTCCCCAGCCCCACATATGCAGGCATACATAAAAAATGCAATTGCTGGGGCGCCTACATAAAACAAAACAAAAAAAAAGAATAGCAATTGTCCTACACGTGTTACATATCACTGAGCATGCCAGAGTGAGATCAATAATTTTAGCACCAGAACTGATTTGTAACGCTAAACTGATGACCTGTGTATTAACCTCCCTGGCGGTCTAACTAATCAATATTTTTGAATGTCAAAGCGGTACATTGTTTTTCATGGAAATTTGTTGTTTTATATTGTAGGCCTGTAATTCTTAGGAATAACTCACTTAAATCTGTCCAAACAAGAGTCTAATAAACATCCCGGCATGATAAAGTTTGAAACACGAAATCACAAGTTATAATATAATAAATAATTATAAAAAATAATATATAACAATAATAAATTTAATTCAATAATGTAATCAAACCAAAAACACTGAAGTTTTAAATAGTGCACCAAGTTCGCACATCAATGAGCTAAGGCGCAGAATCGTTTTCAGTGTCTGACGAATTTCTCCATGAATCACTATCGCTCAATCCTGCATGCGATTCTAATTCACTATCGCTTCCAGGATTTACCTAAAGGGGCGCTTTTTGGACGCCATGGACGTTTCTCTGTTTCCAGGCAGAAAGAACGGTAAAAGTGCAGGCAGGGCACAAGATAATATATATCAAACCAAGAACACTGAAATTTGAAATACAGCGCCAAGTTCGCACATCACTGAGCAAAGCCGCAAAATCTTTTTCAGTGTATGATGACGAATTTACCCACAAAACATTATCACTCAATTCTGCAAGTAGTTCTAATTTACTATCGCTGTTCTCTAGCTGGTCTAAAACTGCTTTTGACATAAAGGGACACTTTTTGGACGCCATGGACGTTTCTCAGTTTCCAGGCAGAAAGAATAGTAAAAATGCAGGCAGGGTACAGAACAAAGCACTAGGGACAAAATGCATGTGAAATGGCTTGATACAGTAATGTAATACTAAGAGATTACAGTGTATTGTGTGTATGTCAAGTTTTTACTTTTTTGAATTTCCCGCTGGTTCCACCCCCCTGTACGTCCTGACACTCGCAGGGAACGGAACCCGGAAGACGGATGTCAGCATCGGCCGGCGGACATGGCGGGAGGACCTTACGGGATCATGTGACAAGGTAAGGCTCGAGGGGTCGCTGCAGTGTAATCCCGAGTGTTGCTCGGGGTTACCGCTTCTGGTACTGAAATTAACCCCGAGCTACACTGGGGCTTACCGCCAGGAAGGTTAAAGTATCACCTATGGAAAATATAGGGTATTGACATTATTTTGTTGTTTCATGGGTGCATGCAATTTTAATGCTTGACATGTCAGGTATCTATTTACTCAGGGTAACATTATCTTTGTAAAATAAAAAATTGGAACTATCACAAATGTATTTTCTAGACTGTCTGCTTTTAGAAAATATATAATGTTTGGGGGTTTTAAGTAATCTTCAGGCCTTAAATTATTTTTTAATCATGTAAACCTAAAATGTAAAAAAAATAGAAAAAATGGGGTGGGGGGGCAAATTCTCCTCACAGATCCTACATTTTGTTACATTTGTCCTAGGAGTTATTTGGTTTCAAGTCAAGATGGGCATCCCATATCCCCTTAGACCCTACCAATGTTGTTTATCCCTAAATAAATAAAACAACAAAAACAAGCCCATGGACTGGATACTGAGTCTGAATTTAAGTTGGAAAATGCTTGTGCAGGAAATAAGGAGGACCCAAAAAAATCAGCTTCCAAGGGGGTAGTGCTACATGTGGATGCAGGAATCTGTGTGTTTTTTTTTTTTTCAGACCACTAACTGAACAAAAAAAACCCCGCTTTAGAATTAGTTCTTCCCATGCAGTTGAGCGCATTGGGCAGTAAATGATCTTCATCGAATTCTGTCAGCTACAGCCAGTTCAGCCTCAGCCTCATCTCTCAGGATCTTGATAGCTTCCTGACTGCTTTGAAGGGAGACAGCCAGATTGTCAGCAGCCTTCCTTGTTTCTGCTTTCTCTTTCTTTTAGGTCATGGTATCCAGAGCATTGAAATATTGGGTAAACAGTGTGCTAAGGAAATAGTAGGCACAGTTGAGAATTATTATGAGCATTCACACATTTTAGTGCTCAAGTGATGACTAGACATGCACTAATACACCGTCAGGGAAAATGTAGGCATAGTCGAGCCCGAATACATGAGAATGTTCATAATAATTCTCGAGTGACAAAAAGACGTGCCATAACACACGCCCAAATCTGCGCACGTGAGCATGCGCTTTAGCATGAGTGAGCGTGAATGCTTGGCCCTTACTTGCCTATTTAACCACTAGCCTACAGGGCACTTATACCCCTTTCTGTCCAGGCCATTTTTCAGCTTTCAGCATGGTCACACTTTGAATGACAATTGCGTGGTCATGCAACACTGTACCCATATGAACTTTTTATCATTTGTTTGAGACAGATAGAGCTTTTTTTTGGTGGTATTTAATCAGCTCTGGGTTTTTTATTTTTTGTAAACAAACCAAAAACCACTGAAAATTTGGGAAAAAAAGTTTTTTTTCTTAGTTTTTGTTATAGAATTTTGTAAATAAGTGATTTTTTTCCTTCACTGATGTGCACTAATGAGGCTGCAGTGATGGGCACTGATAGGCTGCACTGATGGACACTGATAGATGGCACTGATGAGGAGGCACTGGTAGGTGGCACTGATGGGCACTGAAAGGCAGCACTCATATATGGCACTGTTAGGTGGCACTGACTGGCACTGTTAGGTGGCACTGACTGGCATTGATAGGTGGCAATGACAGGTGACACTGAAAGGCAGCTGATATGTGCCATTGATGTACACTGGTAGGCACTGATATGTGGCATTGATGTGGCACGGATGGGCACTGGCAGGTGGCACTGATGAGCACTGACAGCTGGCACTGATGGACACTGACAGGTGGCACTTCTGGGGCTACACAGATCATCAGGGCACACTGATCATCAGTGCCCTGATCATCAGTGCACATGTCCCCTTCTGAGTAATGTCGATTACCGGCTGACAGCGTAACAGCTCGTGAGGAGAGAAATGCCAATAACTGGCATTTCCCTATTTACATGTGATCAGCTGTGATTGGACACAGCTGATCACATGACCGAGCTGACATCTTCGGCTCTTTCCGTTGATCGGTGATCCGCTGTGTCCGAGGGACACAGCGCACCACCGATCGCTGCACTCCCGGAGCCGCGCATGCGCGGTTAGAATGGGACGTCATATGACATCCTCCCAGAACAAGAGCACCGCCTTGCACCCGTCATTTCCTTATATGGCGGGCGGGAGGCAATTAAAGTGGTTCCAGAAATCAGAAGATTGCTGAGTGGACATCAGCTTCTACTGTTTTGACCTGATCCTGTACTACCCAGCTTATCTTGACCCAGCTTGCATCTGATACCTCGTTGCTGACTCTGGCTTGTGACTTGACCCTGCATTCTGTACCGGTACCTTCCCTGCTCCACCGATACTGACCCTGGCCTGGCTCTGACTAGGTTTTGGTTCCTGATTCTGCACTTTCGCTGTTGGGCTAATGCCAACTCCTGCCTGCCTTACTACCCAAGATCCTGCATCTGCCTGCTTGCCGGTCTGCTTGCTTCCCGTAGTTCTGCACCTGCTGCTGTGTCCTCTCATTGATCCGCCTGCTGTTCAGCACCTGCTGCAAGGTTCTTCTGGCCAGCATCTCATACAAGGCACCCATGCCAATCCATTCCCTGTTATATCCTGTCATCACCTTCAGGAGAAATTGGACAGGAGATGTAAGGGAAAGCCCTCTTGTCAGCTCGGCCTCAACCAGGTACATGACACAGTGGTTCAGTCATTTATAATGCGGTCTCTGTATGTAATGGCCAGAATTTTCTGTAGGCATCTTTTTTTTTCCTTCCACTCTTTGCTGGAGTATAGGGCAATGCGAATGACGATTGTAGCATATAGGCACACTTTCACAAGCATAGCGAGTAAAGGCATATACTAGACATAAACACACATGCCTGCTACCTGGTCAGTCCTGCACTGGACATCTTTCTTAACTACTTATCCTCCGTCCTATAGCAGAAGTACTGCTACAGAGAGGCACGGCTGCGCAAAATCGTGTGTGTGTGTGTATATATACTGTATATATATGTGATTTGCATTTACTGGCAGGGGGCGCACTAGCGCCACACTACCCGCAACGCTATTGGTGACTGGGGATGTCAATACCCAGGTCCCAGCCTGCGATTCTCGGCCGGTAGTCGGCAATTGTAAACAACACGGGTCTCTTTCCTGTCAGCATGGACATGCTGCTTTGTATCTCTCTGCACTTTTCCAATTCATGCTTGAGACTCTGTCAGATGTTGCAGACCAGGTTATGTTTCTGATAGTAGTGCAATGTCACCTGTAAAGTTGAGATCCATGAGTCGAGATCTGTTCTGCCACAGGATTCTTGAGTGTGGGATGTCTGTCAAAATTAAATGAGGGGGTGAGACAGGGCGGTGACATCACAATCTTCATCTTGTCCAATCGGAAAACCATGCATTCATTGAGAAAATGAAAAGTGTTCTCTGAATGTCTGCCCATGCCAAGCAAGTGATCTCCTGTGTTCATTAAGCAGAAGGCAGTCGCTTGACATGGGGCCCAGAAGCTACCGGTGATCACTGTAGTGGCATTGCCTATTACAGTGATTTCCAGTTTCCACAGGGATGGGCCAGATATGACATATGAATACTTACATTGGTTTACCTTGGACCATGAAAAAATATACATACCTGGATTTCATCTTTACCATTTGGCAACTTCATTTAACTTTCTTACATAGATCTCGATATTTGACTGTTGCTATTTTTTTCACTTTTTCTGATTTTTGCCTTGTGTCGTTGGCATTTGGCTAATTTTGTTTCATGGGTTAGGTTCCCTGTCGTATCTTGTATCAAGCATTCCTTTTATAATCCTTGTCAACTTCCAATTACCTTCTCTGTGCTGTCTCTAACTGCTTGCTTAAAGTGGCATAAGGCATCAATTGCAGGAATGTCTTGTAGCAGTTGAAACCAATTTTTCAGGTGAAGTTTGAATTCTTGCGCAATTTCAGATGCCTTCAGCTTTCTCCACTGCATATGGGAGGGATGGCTGTTATTTTTGTTTCTATTTGAAACAGAGTTTAAGGGATGATCAAGGGAGGTTGTGGTTAGACCCACTGTCTGCTGCATGATACACCCTCACATCTATCAACGGTGAACACTATTCTGTATTCATGAAAAAAATAATTTCATTATTCATGACTCCATCTTGTGATCTCTAGCTCTTATATGGAATGTATGTGTTTGCTAACACAGAAGTTGTTATGTTACAGAAGAATTAAGTGTCATTAATGTGTGTGGCTGATTCATAGACACCAAGTACATTGTATATGTACCAGACCTTGGTGGTTGTTGGCAATCTGAGCATTGAAATCACCAATGAGGAGTTTTTTGTCACAATTGGGTATGTTGTCTAAAGTTCTTCAGGACTAATCTTTAACAGATCATAGAAGGTCTCTTTCTCACTTTTGTCTGTGACTTCAGTAGGTGTGTATATTTGTACATACATCATTTTAGCATGCCTGGACTAGAACTGTGCAGTAATAATGCAATCGATCACAGGCTCCTATCCCAGGAGAGCACAGAATTCCTTCCTGATCAAATTCAGACAATGCAGTACAGGTGACATTCTTCAAGGCCTATCAACTCGCCTTTCGGTCCTTTGCTGCTCTCAACACTCCCGTCCATCTTATTATAATGATGCCCAAGATGTCAACCTTGTAGTTCTCAAATTTACTGAAGACTTTTGGTAAGTCTTCCGCATACAATACAAAACTGACTCTAAATACAAATTATGTGGAGAGGTGATAGGGAGATAGTACAATGACATCTCAGTTTCTTTCAGTTTACTTGTTTAAAATGCATGTTGCTACATTTATACTTTCCTTCACTCTAATTTTTATTTACTGAAAATTTTTTATTGCACTTCCACTAGAAACTTATTCTACCCCCTACACTGATGAAGCACCATAGGACCAAAATGATTCCCCCATGAGACATCCGCTACTTCACGAATTCTAGTGCTCTGTTCTTCTACCACCTCTTTCCTTCTCTGTTTCCCATAACAGACATGCCTCTAACCTAAAGGAGAAATTTGGGATATGTAAAAAAAACAAACATACATACTCCCCTCCATGCTGTAGCATCGGTATGATGCTGCAGGTGTCCACCGCTAGCTCTAAGCCTAAAAACTGAGCAATCACATGGCTGCTGATCAGTTTTTCAGTTTTCTGAAGCAGAGAGTGTTCTGAGAGGGGGGGGGGGTTGTAGCTGCTGGCTCGGGCTCTCAGCGGCGCACTGAGAGGCTGAGCCAACTGCTGATCGGGCATGTGGGTGGATCCTCACAATATGGTCAGGATCCTTCCAGAGCCTGCAGCAGCTCTGTGATGCCAGCCATTAGCAGGATTTAGCCCTCTGCCAGCTGATTCTGGGTCCCACAAGAGATATTCGCTCAAAAAAGCCTTCATGCCTTCTGCAAAAAAAAAAAAGAAAGTATCATGACCAAATAATTTCAATTTAATCTCTATATTTAAAATGTGATTTATGTTGAAGATTTGAAACTTCCTCAAACTTTGGTGAAAATTTAATTTGGTGTCTTCTATCTCATAGTGTCACCAAAAACAAAACCTACTATGGAGGTAAGACAGTAAAGCAAAGTCAGGGTAAGGAAAATCTACTAACTTTGCTTTTGCTTATAAATAGCACTCTATATTTTATTTTGAAATGTTCTTCTGTTCAAGCTGTTTTTTTTATTTTCAGATTTCAAATACACTAAAATAATTTAATTTACTGCTAATTCAGTGCAGCTGTAATACTACTACATTGACACTAGGTGGCGACATAACACTACATTTTCACATGAATACATGGATTCAGATGTTGGAAAAGACTTGTCAATTAGTATTTTACCAAATGTATTTAGAACAGAGAAAGTTTAAAGACAGATCTTATGTGTAATTTGCATTAGCATATTTGCATGTTAAATTAATTTCTACCTTTTTTCAAAATCTATAGTTTAATAATTTAAGTAGTTCCTCTGACTTCAAAAAGGTGCTCTCAAATACCAGCATGAATAGGTTTATCACCTCACTGAACTGCACTTTGAAAAATGCTGTTCATTTTGACAATATTTTGGTGCTAAAATGTCAGTGTGCCATAATGAGGTCCTATCACTTAATATCATACTTTATATGAGTCAGTATAATGAATGTCAAAAGCAAAATAATTTTGAGTAAAATAAAACATGATGATCTTGTCATTTAATACAGTAACACTCCTAATGAACTGGCCTCCAATCAGCAAAAAAAAAAAATCACATAGGCATGTGTTGATTAAAAAATCTATATATTTTTTTTTGTTTTTTAACAACTAGAATTAGTACTTTCAATCCACTGTACAGCAGAACTAAGACTAGACAAGTAGCACAAGGAGATAATCAGAATGACTAAGGTACTCATTGGTACTTATGTAGCACCCTCGAGTGTGTTACTAGAATAGTGTAGGCAAATCTATTGTGGTAACTGTGTGAGTCTGTGATTAGGGTCTGGTTATTGCAGGTCAGGCTGGATGGCTTAACAGGTTGGGGCTCTGTCGCCTCCACCTGGTTCTGGAGGACCATGGGAACCTTCCAGAAGCCAGTAGGCAGATAAGGTGGAAACCTAATCTGCATGTTAATGGAAGTCTAACAAATTCCAGGACCACTCCATAAATATGGGATAGTCAGGTCGGCTGGGCAGTCGGGTGGAAGATGGACTGCTGAAAAGACTGTTTTTGACCTGGGAGGGGTCTCCTAGGTCTGGGGGGGCTGGCCTCCAGGCTGGGCTCGGGCTGGCTCTGGAGGATCCATTCAGCAGTACAGCATGAACAGGATCAAGACCTGGGAGCAGTGGGAGAAAAGAGGACAGAGTGAGTACATCAGTACACCCTGGGATTCACAAGGGGAGAGACTGCCACATGTACCAAGTGGTGCTTAATCCTTTATCCTTGTCTTGGGAGATCTTTAGAGCAGCCAGGAGGGCTGGTAGTGTCTGCAAGCTGTGGCGCTGGGAGCCGTTCTACATCTCTGCATGTAGTTACAAGTCAAGTTGATTTTCAGAGGGGGGCTATGAGTCCCTCGCC